CAACGCCGCACCGCAACACCGCAACACCGCAACACCGCAATACCGCAACACCACAACACCGCAACACCGCAACACCGCAACACCGCAATACCGCAACACCACAACACCGCAACACCGCAACACCGCAACACCGCAACACCGCAATGTTAACACCCGCCGCGCCGCCACGCCGCTGCGCCGCAACTCCGCAGCGCCGCAACACCGCAACTCCGCAACACCGCAACACCGCAACACCGCAACACCGCAACACCGCAGCACCGCAACACTGCAACACCGCAACACCGCAACACCGCAACATCGCAACACCGCAACACCGCAACACCGCAACACCGCAACACCGCAACACCGCAACACCGCAACAAGGCAACACCGCAACACCGCAACAAGGCCGCAACACCGCAACACCGCAACAAGGCAACACCGCAACACCGCAACAAGGCAACACCGCAACACCGCAACAACGCAACACGCAACATGCAACAGGCAACGCAAGGAGGCGGGGGAAGAGTGGAGGATGCGTACGCCGCCAGGCTCAACCTCAGTTGCCTGGATGGATCACCATTGTAGCGGCGGTGTGAGGTTTGCACGAGCAGTTTCGGCGCAATGGACATGTTTCGTCTTTCCCTCGTGTCGCCCTCATCCGGGATGCCATCTGCCACGCAAGGTGCTTCACGAGCACAGGTCCATTGTAGTGGCATCCGGATTGCGCAAAGACAAAACAAAAAGCAGGACACCCATGATCCAGGGTGGTCCACGCACGCGCATGCGCACGGGCGCCGGCATACACGCGCGCACACAAATACACCCACACACACCCCCACACACACACAGAAAACACACACACACACAGACAAACCACACACAACACAACACACACACACAAAACACACACACACAACACACGCACACAACAGACACAAAACACACAACACACACTACACACTACACCCCGCACATCGCACACCACACACCACAACACAATTCGCACAGCGCACACAACACACAACACACACCCACACACCACACACACACAACACACCACACACCACACAGCACACCACACACCACACACCACACACCACACACCCCACACCACACACCACACACCACACACCACACACCACACACCACACAACAAACACCGCGCGACACATTACACACGCCGCACGGCACACGACACACGGTTCAGGACGCACGACGCGCAACGCACGACGTGCGACGCACGACACAGGACACGCAACACACAACACGCAACATGCATCACAGCACACGCGCAACACACGCGCACGACGCACACCACGCACACCACGCACACCGCACCCGCCATGCACACCACGTACACCACGCACATGCACACCATGCACCAAGCACACCACGCGCACCACGCGCGCACGCACGCGTGCAAGCAGAGCCATACTGGCACGTGCGCACGCGATATGAGCAACCGCATGCGCAGGGGCGCGCAGGAGCACTCTCACCAAGACGCACACACACAGAGATACATGGGCTTGTGCTGGTGCTGAGACGCACAAAGAGGCCGAAGGCGTGGCTATTGGGCTGCCTTGTTTTTCGGCTGTAATGACTTTCGGCCTGGGTGGTGGGAAGCTGGGTGGTTGCCACCCCCATCATACCGGACAGCCTCCCTCTTGAATCATAGAAGCGGTGAGTCGCAACAACATTCTTTGCTTAGTCCCGGCCCCATATCCGCTGGCCGGCTGCCGGATTGTGGGTAAAGCGAAGCCCAAAAAAGCGAGAAACACGTTTCGAACGAGTCTCTACTTTTTCCAGGCCCAGTATTTGACGCACGCTGCCTGAACAGGACATCACCGTCACCGAGGCGGCAATCGCCAAAGCCTGCAACATCCAGCACCGGGGCAGCAGCAAGAGTCATGTCGGTCGCGGTTCCTCCGCCTAAGGTTAAAAGCAACAGAAACATATAATTTGCATCCGGGGTTAAACAAGACGCTACATTCGTGATGATGTTTCTCCACTTGGATCTCTCATTTCAGTTGATGTTTTGGGTTTTCTTCGGAGTTTTGTTTCACTGCACCTGGTTGCATCTGCCTTGTCCGATGTACCGAACAGCTTCCGGTTCGAGGTTTCCCCGCATCGAGGGGGAAAACTACATTGGCATCGTGGGGCCCTGTGGGGGTCACACGAAGGAATACCACTTCCACCGTGGTCTCGGGTGCTTGTACCAGGCGCATTGCATTTGTGGGATCCGGGACAGAAGCCGACACATGTGTCATAGGGGCACTGCAGTTGTGTTGTGTTTACTTGGCCCTGCAGGGGCCACGTGCCGCAAGTGACTGACTATAAAACAGGCGGTTTGCATCGCATGACCATGAGTGTTACCCGTAAAGCATCGATTTAAATCTACCGGTCCCGGAGGAGACGGTTCCGCCCTCTGTTTCGTGGGGGGGGGGGGGAATTGTCTTCTCGAATCGCCACAATAAACTACTGTACCATCCAAACTGCAGATGGCTGATTGATACTCCAGCACCAAGAGAAACGGGCCTCTGACCTCACCAAGCAAACTTGCCAGCAGGAAATGCGAATTGAATTGCTTTGCAGCTCTCCCCGGGGATTGAAGATGTGTGCGGCGTGCACGTGGCCATTGCCTGAACGCAGGAGTTTGGGCTGTTCAGGAGGTTTCGGAACTGGCAACCTTGCCCAGTTGATCGGGTTTGTGAACAAACTGACGATTGTCGTCCTGTCCTGGAATGGCTGGGTTCTTGGAGTGTCAACTCATGTTGGGTTTGCAGATCACCAAATTCACATGGAGCCCGACTTCTATTTCGAGGGTCACAGGGATTGGACGCCCTGGCAAGCTGAGCCACAGATGCCCCATCCACCATCCACGGCTGAGGGCGACAAACTTGCTTCAGGCCTTCAGCTTCTAGGTTTTACCCGATTCACACCCCATTGCCACCCAACAATTCACGCCAGCCATGGGAGCCACTTTTGGGGGTTGCTTGGCTTGACATTCTACATTCACTAAAGCAGAAAGAGAAGGGCTTTCTATCTGCATGTCGCTTGCCATAAGCACACTCAAATCTTTACGAATAGAGCTGGGAGGACTTGAACCTCCAACCTCCTCCCCGCACTCCGGGGAGACACGCTGCCATTGCGCTACAGCTCTCCACGGGTGAGTGTGTCTCCTGCTCACCTAGCTGGGTGTTTGGCTGTTTTCTGGAAAGAGAATACGCGAAGACGAGCGATGTAAGAAGGTCCGAGTGTTTGGGTTGCCCACAAAGTGGACTATTGCCGCGGTAACCTCCCCTTTATGAAGGCGAATCCTTCCAGTAGTGGATTCCATTCGATAACCCCGTCTTGTCTGGTGTTTGCAAACAAGTGGAAGGAGAGCGGTGGCCACTCCAGCAAGGTGGGCGTTGTCGCTCGGCATTGCAGTTGGTGAGACTTAGCAAAACCTGTTTGCACCTTGGGGGATTCAACCAGATAAACGTTCTTGGGCCACCTGGATGTGCTTAGCATAGGTAGCGTCCGAGTCCTTTCCAAGCCTTGGTTCGCCGCCGTCCTTTGGAGCGTAGCGTCTTGGAGTTTGCTCTCGTTCGGGTAGTCACCCCTTTGCAGGACGCCTTGTTTGTGGTGGTGGAGTGATGCTTTGACTGGAACAAACACCTGATGCAGTACCGTCAGCTGGCAGGACTTGCATTCCCTTCACGAGCAGTATATCTTGTCATACGACTGGTTTAGCGGGTTGTCCCACATATCATGGTCTCTTAGTGGAGTCCAAGTTAAGTCTTTAGAAGGTTGTGCCACCCATCTTCATACATACCAAATGTGGGCTGAGGTTGCTGGATACAACCTCTACGGCAAATGGGAGGAGACAAGAACTGCTTCGGATTCAGGGGATCTTCAAGCGAGGTAAGATGATGAAACACGTCTAGTTGTTTATTGCAACAGTAGGGAAGAAATGAGGACGCGACAATGACAGATACCTGGCAAATCAGATTAATTGACGGAATCGGCAACTGATCGCCACGCGAGATTTCAGTAGACCTTTGTTCTTGGCCTAATGGGGAAGACCTACGTGACCCTAACAGTTCAACATTGCATGACATTTGTTAAAATATTTCCTATGGTTGTCAAGGGCCCCCGACAGTGGAATCTCCCAGCAAGGGGCCTAAAATGGACCTTGATAGGCCTAATTAGGCACTATTGTTACGCGCTGGCAGCCCTATTGGGTTTCGGGGCTCCTTTTGGGGGGCGCATATTTACACATGCAGTTTGTTAACTGTTCCCTCAAGGCACTACCTACATGTTCACAGTTCCTGGAGCAGGCAGAGTTCTGCCACTGTGAAATCAGGCTGACTTGCTGATGCTTAAACCTCGCTGTGGTTGATAGGTGATATTCAAGTATTAAACTAAGGAACCTCGCTCCAAGGGAATCCAGCTGAGATCTTGGCTTTCACCAAACAGGTCCTTGCCACTGCAGTACCTCGGTACTGCAGTACCGCAGGGAACCAGGTGTTTCTCCTCTGGAATATTGGTAAACGACGCGGCTGATCGCTGACCTTCATTGAACTGTGCTCCGGGACCCTACACTCCTCCAAGGGCGCCTTCCGCAACCTTTAAGGCCATTTGGCTTTATCAATTTGGGAAAGAACGCAAAATGGTCGTTGCCTCTGCAAAGGCTTGCCCAGTGCTTCAGCCTTTGGTTTTGCCTATGAACAAGAAAACGTTTTGAGGCTGGCACCAATCAGAGGGCAAGCTGCTGGAAAGTAGGCTTCGCAATTGACCACTTCCTGATTTACAATTGGAACACTTAGATTCGCTGTGGCACAAACTCGGCGGAGTGTGAACACCAAACCCACATTGTTTAAGCGTGGCTAAACCATATTGTTCAAGCAGCCTTTTTTGGGTTTTCCTAAGGGGGCCCTGGGCAACCAATGGCCGAGGGAATCGCAGGCTGGATATCCTTAGGCAAATGGAAGCAGCAAACCGTGGTCTGGTCGTTTACCGCTTTTCAATCAATCATGCAAGTGACAGAGAGGCTCTGAAAAAAGAAAGTCTTCCAAAACCATCCTCTTGCCCACTTCCAGGAGGGTAAACACGCAACAAAGGAGGTCTTGTCAAAAACACAACCCTCCCTCCCTCTTCTCGCCTGCCTGCAGAATGCGGAGGACTTCGGCAACAACCAGCTGCCGCTGCTGGACGCCTGCGGCGCTCACTTCGGGCCAACGCCCGAGAGCTCGAGCAACGTGTACCACTACCACGTGCAAGACCAGGCGGCATGTTCGCCTTTCGAGAAGCATGGAGTATGTCTGAGTATGTCTGGGTCCAAAAGAAAGTGACATCAAATAGAGCATGGTGGAAACTGGAAACGTAATAGAAACATGGTGGAAAGTAATTAGATGAACATGCCCGGTTGCCTCCAGCCAAGCACGTGCAAGCACTGGCTGCCTCTGACTTCCTGACTTCAGGCGCCTTTCACGGTGGGTTGCTACGGGCCCTCGGCCTCCAACGGCCTGGTGTCGGTGGCGGAGTGCCGGGCCTTGTACCACAAGTGCGACAACGACGGGGGTGCTGGGAGCGCCATCGAGACCAATGAAGGCACATGGGCGCGCGAAATGGATGCCGTGTGGTTTGGGGATTGAAGTGGGGGCTGAATGTGGTTGTGGTTGCCCCTTGCTGCCAAGGTTCACCCCTCTATTTGCATTGATATTTGCCAAGGTCAAAATGGTCAAGTCAATTCAGGTCCCAAAGTCTCCTCAACCTCAGCGGCAGGCTGCTTCAGTTGCAGGCAAGTCGCTCTATCCCGCGAGTTTTGAGGTCAAATCAAAAGTCGAAAGTCTTACCAGGAGTTTTTCAGGTTTGAAGTGTAGGCATTCCTCGGAAGTAAGGCCAATTCAGAGCCTTGGGTTCCTCAGGCACCGTGATCTATGACAAGTTCTGCCCTTGCTGGGACGGCGCGGGGTCCAATATGGGCACCAACATCGTGGAGCTTCCCGCGCTTAGCACCTCCGCCATCTCCTACACCGCAGGCAAGTTGGCTTCCATTTGCTTAAATGAACATTTGTGAAGTGTCCTTTGTTGGTTTTAAGGGAATCTATCACTACTGGAAACATGTATGTTTCTTCCGGGGGGCTTAAGCAAATGTTTGTTGGGCAAGCGATCTGGAACGAACTCATGAGAAGAATGGCTTGATTTTAGCGAGAGTTGTTTTTTCTTCCGGTGACACAGTGGCACCGGGATGGCTGCTTTCTTCGGAATCACATAAAGGTGTATTTGCCGCAATACGATGTGTCAAAGCTTGAAGGGGAGGAAGAATCCAAAGGGGCAAACACACGCGCCTTCTATTGCACCCTTCTGGGGCGCATTTCGTAGGTAGGCAACAGTTTGTTTGCCGACATGCGGTTCAAGATGTGAGCATGCAAAGCAGAAAGCGAACCTCGAAAGAAAGTGCGCTCATGGAGGGGTCCCTGATTAGCGGCTTTGACACATTTCGCAAACAAGCAGCTGTCCAGGAATTATCTCCCTTCTCCTTTTCCAAGACGTGTGAGGCTTGACTCAGAGTCCTTGTTAGGTGGCTTCCCGCCCCAAACTTGCCCCTCCCAAAAGCCAGCCCCACCCCCACGGCTAAATTCTTCTCTCTGCTGACGCGAGGCAGCGGCGCAGCCGCCACCACCGCCACCACCGCCACCGCCAGCACAGCCGCAACTACCGCCAGCACCACCGCCATCCATCCCTGCGGCAACTGCGGATATGGCACTAGCACCACCGCCGGCGCTTGGGGCTCTATTTCCAGCGCCAGCATGCGAATGCCGAAGCTTTTTGGCCTGACGGCGATCGTTTGCGCCCTGGTGCGCTGAGAAGTAGAGCTGCGTGGCCGCGATGGGAAGGGAGGGTGGCTGGGTGGTGTGAAACTTCGGCGTTAAGCTTTGGGGCCAAGATAATTGCCTTGAGTACGGGGCTGCTTTGGCTCAAAACCTCGGGTTGACATGGTTCCGTTTTCTTTTTGCAATGTATTCTTTGCTGATGAATTTGGGTTCTATGTCTGCTCCGGCTTTGGTCGCAGCAGAGAAGTTCCGGGCCTCGAAACACCGGGCCCACGAGACAGGGACTTGTTTGCTGGTCCTACCTCTGAGATCCAGAGTTTTTAATTTCATTGTACATAGGTGTCGGATTCGTGGAGATTCTGCTGCACTCTGCTACTCCGATGGACAGCGCGCGGGGGTTCCCAAAAGTTTCTGAAGGCAATGCCTGTCACGAGCAGTTTCCGAAAGCCACGCGTTAGGTGTGCAATGTGGTAAGCCGCTTCCTTCAGCAAGCAAAGGTCAGCCTTTTCCGGCGAAGGGTCATTAGGGGCTGATAAATATAGAGCCTTAGCTCCAGCTTCTCAACTTGCGGACCCACCCCTATTGGCTAGTAACAGGGCACCCAAAGAGTACTCAAAAGTCCAGCAAGAGGCAGGCGGAACACGGCTGTCAGGAAACCGGAACGGCTGCGCGAACGCTCCGAGGTTTCAAGCACGGACAATCTGAAGTGAGAGCCAAACTCCGCGGCCTTCTTCGAGCCAAAGCCACCCGCGACCCTCACAGTTGGCAACACCCATAGTCCAGCACCCGCAGCTAGCTTCCTTTTGGGGAGACATTTAAAGATTGGTCACCTGGAGGCCTGGAGGGGAGGCAAAGTTTGGTAAACAAGCCCTCAAACATGATCCCGGGATACCATCATGCAATCCCTGGTGTGTGTGTGTGTGTGTGCCTGTTCATCTTCAGCCTGGAAGCTCGAGGAGGAGGTGCGAGTCGGGACGTTTGGGTCCCATTCACTGATTTGTTGCTCCTCGTGAAGACCTTTGCGAGGGGCAATGTTTCTGGTTTCATTTTAGGTTGACCCGTCTCAACACTCGTGTCGAAACCGGGGGCGTCTTAGTTGAAGCGCCCCAGGTTCGACCAATATGTTTTGAATCCTGCCAACGTGGCGCGAAGTAATGCCACTTGGCCCGACCACCCTTTCCAACGAGCATGTGAGCTGGCAAGGTTGTGGACGACCCTGGGAATCATTTGAGATGTGCCCTCCCGCCCATGCTTGTCATGCTTGAGGGTTGTGGTCTTTCTCCATCTGGTGCTTTGGTGCTTTTGGGCATCTGAATTTCTGTTGCAAGAAGCACCAGCCCTCATTTCGCAGTTTGCGGCAAAAAGGCCAGTCAGAACTGGTATGCGGAAAATGGTTGCTGGGAAGGGGCCGCCTTTGACAAAATCCTTGGTCTGAATGGGTAGACTCCTTTCTCGGGTTTACATCCAAAACAGGGAGCCTTCAGCTGTGACAAGACTTGAACGTCTGCCAGTCGATTGCGCTTTTTTGACCCAATCAGGTGGCTCAGGTTAGCTCGTCCCCTCAATTCCGCAAGATCGGCTGGATGGGGCTTGCTGCCAAAATGCGTTGAGCACACCGGAGTGACCCAAAGCAAGCTGTTTCCCTTAAATTGGTTGAGCTCTGATAAACCAGAAGAGGTTTCCTACTTTGTTCGGATTGGTTCCTCATGTGGCTTCCCATTTCTTACATTCAGCATTTCGGTGCCTCAAAAGAGTGACTTGGCCGTGCTTTGCGTCGCCTTCCGTCATTTGTTCTTTGAAACTTGCATGGCCTCCGCCTAATTTATGGTAAGCTCACCTGGGGTAACACGGGATTACCACGCAATGATGGAAGTCCCCTCATAACTTCATGTCAGGGGTGGAATCATTGACAATTTGCAGAACCCCCTTTTCGCTGAAAAGAAGATCACTTGATCTTTTTGTAAAAGGGCCTGATACTCCTTGCGCAATATCCTCAGGATGAATACGTCGCCTGCTCAAGTTGAATCAACCCTGGATTAAGCAGAAGCCTTCGAAAACCGTCTTTTGGATGTCCGCCACTGATTCTGTGCAACTTCCTAATGGGCGAATTGGCGATGGGCGAAATCCCTGCGAAATTGTTCGGCTCACAGCGAGAGAGTGCGATGGCGCCCAAGGCAGGGATGGGGAAGGGCTGGGTACTCTGAAGCTTGAAGCTGCCAGGTGTGCAGACCCAAGCATACACATACAAAGCTTCTGCGTGCATACACATACAAACTTGATCAAACTTGCCTGTTTGTGTGGTTTCTTCCGTTCATGTTGATCCTTTCCGTGTTCAGATAGCTTTCAGCACCAGGTGGCGAATGGGTGAAGCCTTTGGGCAACGCAGCCATCGGTCAAACAACCGTCAGCCGTTGCCGACACACTCTGAGCTGTTAATGGTCATCCGACAAAGTCGAACTCATTGCTATCCCAAGTGGATTTTGACCCAGTCAAACTGCGGACTGCTCATGCGTAGATCAAAGCTCTAGAAGGGAAATAAGCGGCAGTGGCGTTGGTATTTCCCTTGAACATCAACGGGGTAAAACACAGGGACCTCACTACCGGCCCTTGCGACCTCGATGAATCTTCCTTGGGGATTCCTTGTGACAGGCTGCCCTACTCCAAATACCCTCTGGTGTTAGCTGTCGTTTGCAAAGCATGCGGCACCGACCTTGAATATGTATCGTCAGCCCATTTTGGGCCAAGCATTGGGCAGGAGCCCCCGACTCACTTAGCGATGAGAAAGAGCGCTTCAGCTGAGGTGCACGTTTGTTAGTGGCAGCAGAGCCGTAGTCGGAAGCCGGGACACGCCGGCTTTAGCCGAAGAGGAGGCGCCGCCAGGACCTTCTGGTCATCATGGAAGAGACCCGCCGGCACCGGTGTGGAACGGGGCGAAGCCCGAGACCGAGTTCCAGGTCTACGAGAATAATGTGAGGCTGTGGGAGTTCGAGACAGAGGCAGAAGAGAAGAAGCGCGGAGTCAAGCTCCTTTGGAGCTTGTCGGGCAATGCCCGTGCAGTGGCAGACACGCTGGAGTTTGAGGACGTGGCACGCGAAGCTGGAGTGAAGAACATCACGAAGTTACTCAGAGAGCACCTCGCGCCGCACCTGGAGACGAGTTTGCCGCGTGCCTTTGAGGCAGCAGTTTATAGTTTATGGACAACAGGACAACAGAGCTCGTCCAAGGAGGAGTTCCAGGAGTACCTGATCCGCATGGAGAACAACTTCAACAAGCTTCGCAAAGAAGGTGTCAGCTTGCCGGAGCAGGCAGAGGGCTACACCATATATAGGCAAGCCGCTTTGTTTGAAAACCCGGACATGAGGGTAACGATATGGACGGAAAGCAGGTTCGAGAGAGGCGTGATCGTTGCGGCTCTCGGGAAGTTCGACAAGGTGGTGAAGGAGCCCAGGAAAAAGGCGGCCTTCCACCAAGGATGCGAGAACTATGTGTACCTTCAGGACGGAGACTCGGACCAGGTCTTTGAAGAGGAGGAGGTGATGTCGGCAACGATCAGCAGAAGGCGCGGCGGTTCCACAAGGTTGAGAACAGCTGGTTTTCGCCTCGAAGATTTCACGTGCAAGACAGATGCCAGTCTCTCCGGATCTGAAGCCTTTTGCGTCTCTCAAGAATTGAGAAAAACCCCAATCCGATTACGACCTGGAGTTTCCCCGCTCAATGGCATCATCATCCAGGAGCCTGAGCAGGACATGGACATGAACAAGATCATTCGGAAACATTCGCGAAAGAGAGCCATAAAAGCATGGGTGATCTTCGTTGACAAGATTCTACTACATGGCGCCTGGGGACTGGGTCGCAGAATGGTGGCTGCCCAGTGTGACCGACTGCGCGGGCCTACGCCGAGGTGGTTGTCAAGGGAAAGCCACTGAGCAAGCTAAAGTATATGAGGGACACATCGGAGAAGGAAGCAGAGGAGAAGACAGAGCAGAAGCAGAGGGAGGAGCTGAAGGAGGCAAAACAAAAAATTGGCAGATGAGGACAGAGGCGCTGGAGAGCGTGATGAAGTACCAGAGAGAGGAGGAAATGATGGTGTTGAAGAATCGCCAGCTCGAGGAGGTCCAGGCGTAACAGGAGGCGGCGTTGCAAGTGGCGAGGGCAGAGAGCGCAGCGGCTCGCTGACTTTGACCAAGCGGAACGGTCAAAGGCCCTGCCGAGATTGTCATCGTTTCTGTGACAGATGTCATTGTTTCTGTGACAGCCGGTTTTGCAGGGTTTCGCACGGATTTTCGGTGTGCGTCCTCTCGTCACGCGCCCATGATGCAGCTGGTTTTCTGGTATGGGGGTCAACCCCCATGCTCGTCGGAACAGTGAGGAGGCTGCTGCAGCAGTGATCTTGCGACTTGCTGCAGGACCGGTTCAGGGCGCGGCCCTGCCAGTCGCTCAGGAAGTTGTCGGCAGCAAGCCAGCGCGGCCCAGGAAGTCTTGGGGGACGGTGCTCCGCTGCAGGGGCGCGCCCACCAGACAGGCCAGGTCAGCGAAGCAGGGCGCCAGACCAAGCGCCCGTGCAGCTGCACGGAAAGCGACCCGAGATGATCCCACTGGCCATTGCTTTTCGGCAGGGCAATTGCAGGCTAGGAAGGCCATTGCAACAAGCACTGAAAGCGCATTCAAGGTTGCAGAATGGGTCAGCCCATTTTGGGCCAAGCGTTGGGCAGGAGCCCCCGACTCGCTTAGCGATGAGAAAGAGCGCTTCAACGTTTGTTAGCCACCAGAGGGTGGGGTATGATTACGATGTCAACCCCCGAAGTATGACATTGAACGCCAGATTGTTCAACCCTGAAACCATTCGAGTTTCGTAGGGGGGGGAATTGGTGCTTGGCGTGGTTTGCGTCCCTGGTGTTGTGCTGATTCTTGCCGCCCAAGAAATATCAGCCAATGCCGGAAACTTTGGCTGATTGATCGAGTTTACCCTCTGCTTGCGAAGCATTTCCTGGTTGTTTCCCTGGAAACCAAACTGACAAGCGCACCCTCAACAAAGCACCCATATCCCTGTGGATGGCTGGGTTTCCTGTTCCCTTTGAGCAGGTTCCAAAAAGACATGGGCACATTGCTGCTTCCAAGGTTCCACTACACTTGCTGCTTGTTTTTCTTCGATGCACCTCCCCCCCCAAAAAAAAGAGAGAAGGAAAAGCGAGCCCTACCCCGCCTCAATAAATGCTAAAACCGCTTCGGGGGATCCCTTAGTACGGATTGGTGAATTCGTTCCTGGTTCCGACCTTTATGGTCGATTCCTGAACCTCAGTAGGCTCCCGCTTCACGAATTTCGCGACGCTCTTTCAACCCCCCCAGGATTTGACCCTAGCACCGCCTGGGTGAAACAAGATAAGAGGAGCAGTCAGCGGCTGTTGGTCTTTACAGGCGCGCCAGTCCCTGTATTCCTGGCGCGGCCGCCCAGAGTTGGCGGCCACTCTGGCAGTTTAGACGCCGATCTTTGGATTCTCTACTAGCAGGTTAACATATTTTTGGGAAGCTTCACGGCGAACCATGAAGAACTCTCAGATAGGAGTGCGGAAACGCAAACACCTAGTTTCTTCGGGGTGGAATTGGGGGACGGTGATGAGTGGCAGAAAGGATTTGCTGTTATCAAGTCTTCGGTTTGAGAGTTGCTCCGCCTGCTCTTGCACACAGTTGAGACCGCACGGTTTTGTGTGCGCCACCAACTGTGACTGGTTGCGATGATGGTCCGGCAATGAAAAGGCCCGCGGCGTTGCTGGTTCAAAGGAGAGCGTTCACCTTTGAAGGGAAACCAAAGGGAAACTACCTTGAAACTGCCCATTCTTGTCGGGGCGAGGCAACAGTTGCTGGACCCTTCGCGAATGGTTTCTTTGTGACCAACATGATTCGCTAAGCATTTGGATCGATCATGGCGTTTGGCATATTCGGAGGCAGTCCGACTCAAGTTAGTTGGTTGTTACCCTACCTACAAGAAATATTATCCTCCTCAGTTCTTGGAGGACGGTTTTCCTCTTGCAGGGACCTTATGGTGAGTTCCATCTTAGAGGGTGGGGCCTGCCGCAACTCGTCGCAACCACCAGCAGTTTTGGGGATCAATGGGCCTCAGGCGGCCGCATCCAGAGATCCACAGCGCGCGGCAGCTGTTTGAGGCGACTCGGAAACGGAACTCGAAGGTCAGGTCGGAGCTTCATAATGCGTCTTGGCCCCTGCTAGGGTTGGTTTTAAGGGACACCAAAAGGAAAGCGACAATTTGGGGGTCCCCACAAAAGCGCACATGTTGATCCCAGATTCAGGCACCTTGCTGACTGGGGCTTTTCCGCAGCTCACAGCCACTTTGGGCACCGCCCGTTCCGATGCAAAGCAACAGCCATGCCCAATTTGTGGATGGGCCCCTTTCCAGGTCATGGGCCCTGTCAAGGGCAACCAACTGGAGGTCGTTGGACAAGTCATGTTTCAGCACAAGTGCCATGAAGCCCGCTTACTTGGGGGTGGGGGATGGACACCCAGCCATTGTCGAGAGCTTTGAGTACCCAAACTGCGACTTGTTGCTCCGCGAAGCTTGAAGAGTCTGCGGATGCGCAGTGACTCTGGCGCTCTCTGATTTGTTGTGGCATGTCTGGTTGACTGCGGGGCCCGGTGCAGCATCATTGTCTGCAGAGTCTGCAGAGTCTGCAGAGTCTGCAGAAGTAGAAGCCCCAAGACCAGGATGGTGACCAGGGAGCGATGCGGCTAATCACCAAGCACTGCCAAACGCAGGCCCCCTTGAGCACAGAAAACACTCTTGTTTCGAAGGATTGATCTCTCCTGGTCCCACTCTTTAGGGCCCAACTTTTCGAACCGAAGCCGGCGACCATCGGCCCACTCAGACTCTGGACCAAGAGACGCGCGGCTACGTGACCGTGGACCAGGCCGGGCAAAGTCCGCTTGCTTTCAGAGTTCCGAGCATGTCCGTGCTAAAACACGGCAGTTGTCGTGTGGGCTTTCCCGGCGTTTCCCGTAAAATCAATCGAGCAGGGAGGAGAATTATGGGGTTCCACGAATTGCAGCAGACACCCATTTGTTCATAGTGTACGGCTCGACCCGCAAGCATTCTCCATTCATGTACAACAAGAATCCAGCTAGTCATTGTTTAAGCATTGCTCAGGATGGCCTGCTTATATCTGCTTATGTCATTGTGGTTTCTGTTGTTTTGTGGTAGAGGTCATCTAGGACTTTGAGCAACCATCATCCTTGCCCAACTGAACTAGCCTGTTTGCTGATATGTGCTATGGTCAAAAGATGGGCTTGGTAGGATGGGTCATCAACCCCGGAATGCGCCGTAATAGGGGTTGTAGACAAGCAATGGACACAACAGGAACTCTGACCATGACCCTGTAAGGAGGTTGATCATGGCACATAGGATTTCCATCAGTGTCTCTTTGCCCAACAACAAGTCAGATTCTTTCGCACGCCACGTCTGCTGCTCTTCGGTCTGACCTTTAGCCATCAAGCCTTTTGGCAACTGGTTGAGTTTCGCGACGTACAATCAACCTGCTTTTACTTCTCGGGGGGGCAAATAATCACAAATGAATGTTAACCACCAACCGGGGCATGAGAAACTATCTTTGTTAAACATATTATTTTATATCCCAATCCAAACCAACAGAAGCCAAAATCAGGCCAGACCGGCGGCCTGTTTCGGGCACACCGTATCTTTGTCTGGCTTTGCAACGTTTCGGCTCTGTGAGTGTGTGTCAGAATTTGATTTGCCACTCCTAGTCTTTGTTTTGTGTCGGTCTTTCTCTCTTTCTTTGTGTGAAACAAGTTGTTCGCGAATTGGTTTTCGCTTCCTTTTGGGCCCGCTTCCTCGTGTCAGGCGGTATCCCCCAAAAAGCAACCTCCAGAACCCTTCCGGAACCCTGGCCCGCAGCAGCTCCGAACCACTTCAAGAGCCTATTTGGGCACAGACCTCAAAGCTTTCAGCTGTTCGGGAACACGTCAACAAGCTGCTGACCGTCGCTCTGTTCTGGCGATTGCCAGGTGGTGGCAGACTGGCCCGGTGAGCCTGACCGTCAGAGTCTCAGACGGCACAAGCGTGCCCAAATCAGAAGGCCAATTTCCATAAGCCATGAGGTTTCTCAAAAAGGCGACGCCTTTTGGATGATGGTATCTAAAGGGGAAACAGGCTGCTGTTGTGGGGGGTCTCCTGTTTGGAGAAACACCCATTCTGGCTGTCAAAATGGGCCTAAGACGGTTGGCTTGCTTTAGGTTCAACAATGGGGTCCTATTTTCGAAAGGCCTTGCTTGCGATGTGTTGGCTATTTTTGGTCAGCTGAAGCAAATGGAAGATGACTGACAAAGTTGAATCCTCTGGTAGAGTGATGTAGGCCTCTCATCGAAGTGTCCAATTTTTTGCGTTCTGTAGCCTGGCAGAACTAAAGGTATGGGAAGGTCATCGGTTGTGCCGTTCTGAAACGGAGAGGGGCAATGCTTCTTGCACCCTTTGCTACCTGTTGAGGGGGGTATGGGAGGCAGGATCCTTTTTTCATGTGGCCACCCCAGCGCGCATGGAGCCCACCAGATCCTTGAGCAAAATTGCTCTGGACCCCCCAGTGAAGTTCCACGTTGGTGGGGAGGCCGTGTTGAATTGGCTTTTCGCTCGGCCGTGGAGTTTTCACTTCGGAGTGCCGTCAGAGAGAGAGGGAGACAGAGAGAGAGAGAGAGAGAGAGATAGAGCGGTAGTAAGGAGAGCCAAGACTGTTGATTGTTGATGTCCTGCAAGGTCAGCAGCTTCTGCTGCTGAGTGGTGGCACTGGACGTCTTGCAGGGATGCCTAGGGGGGGGGGTGTTCCAGGTGCTGTTTAGTGGTCTAAAAAGTGACCTGGTTTCTTGTGGGAGGCTGGGAGGGACCCCTGAACTTGATGTCCAAATGCGCCCTGGCTCGCAACAGTCTCAGGCGGCCAGTATCGCACATGAAACCAACCATTTTGGCGGAATTTTGGTTTGACGCAACTGTCGAGGCTCAGTGAGAGGGCTTGAGACCAGCATGGGTTTGATGCTCTCTCGCATAGCCCCGCGAGATGTCCATGAGTCACTCCGCCGACCGAATCTTCCCCAATATTTTTGGGACAGCAGCTTTTTTCAAGGGAGACCAAGCTGGAAGCCAAGCAGGTTTATCCCGGAAAAGTCAACCTTCTGAAATGGAACGCCCCCCTCCAACCCATTCTCCTCGAGGGGTTCTGCTTGTCAACTGGGTTTCCATCAATAGAACGGGCCAAGATCATGCTTAAATTTGGTTTTTTGAGTTGCCCACAATCCCCAGTCCAATCATTTCGTCCCTCAGCCGAACCAACCACTCGTGTTTTCGCTTCCGAGGCCTGGCCGGACTTCCGAGCTGCCGGGCGGCCTAGTTCGATCTGGATTGGCAGATTGGGCGGTTCAAGGTTCGGCTTGACTCACCTAGAGAAAAAACGGTGGGTTGGACGCCCCAGCAGGAATAAACCACACACGCAGAGTCTCTAGAACCTCTCAGCTTTCCCACCTTCCCTGGAACTGTGATAACAAACGACATGAAATTGGCGCCTGAAGTGGAGATTGGATACGATTTGACACGTGACTGAACGTGATTCGCACAACAACCAGAGACATGTATGATATGTATATATATATATATATTCGCAAATATATACACATCGCACATATTGTTCGTGCATGGCCTTACTCCAGTCATGTGGTCTTTCTGAGCAATGGGTCAGGCGGTGCGGCTCTGGCGCAGCCTGCCGTCCCACCGTCCTCCACGGTTGAGGAGGCCGGGGCAGGGGAGATCAGGAGGGGGCAGTCGCAACGAGACAATGGTTTGGGTAGCCGGAAAATATGAGAAGGAGGATGAGGATTTATCACACTACTGGGTGAACGCAGATGGCACAGTTCTGGGTAGATGTGGGCAAAGGGGATGACACAACCAAGTCTTTCACCCAACTTTAGGTAGGGGCAGTCCCAACCAGAAACTATGGTTTTGGGCAGACCTCAATTTGGTATCAGGGCTTTCGGCCCCAACGATGGAACAACCTCTGTTGAGTTAAGCGTTTTGATTTTGGCGTCGCTTCGGAGCGTAAAAGGAACCAGCTCCATGGGCAAGGCAGATAGGCTCAAAGCTTCGATAGGGAGTCCATAGCATGGAGCTTGACCAGGTGACCAGGTGTTGAGGCAGTACTAAGGCCTTACTAGCTGATCAGTGCTCACTTAGCACTCGGTAGCACCTCAAAACCAGTTTTGCCTTGCCTCCGGGAGACTTGTTGCTGCCAAGGGCTTGCTGTTACATACAATAGGAACTGAACATCAAATGCGCACATGCCCTCGTTCCGGCAATTTGAGGCACTACTGATATTGAGTCCTTTACTGAGGCCTTACTGAGACCTTACTGAGGCCTTGTTGAGTTTAAGGCCTTACCGAGGCCTTATTAAGGTCTCGAAGTGGTAACTTGAGGTGTGTGACATTATTGGTTGATGCGTACTCACCTCCTCATGGCCAAGATTCGTGCATTCCCAATTACCCCCATTGTCGGAGTACAACTCCTTCCCGACCTAACGAACATGCACAACTCCGCAAAACCAGTCATTCTCAGCAAGCTTAGTGAGAGGGACAAATTTGGGGACCCCCCCTTAGGGGGGGGGGTAAGTAATCCATGGTACCAGGTGTACTTTGCCACGCTCCGCACCAGGGCATCCCCAACAAGCATTGCAAGGTCGTTCGGGGACACCCGCATCAGGGTATCCACAATCCCATATTGTTTGGGCAAATCTCTGCAGACTCGTAGTTGTTTTGGCCGCTCATGCTTGCTAGTTCGAGAGCGCATTTCTTGGCTCAACAGCATGCCACTCCTCAAGCAAACGCGAGAAAACAACCTACGCCAAAGAAAACATGTTGTGGGTCCAATGATTTCTGCAAGGGGTGCCAACATACTGCTGTCCTATCGAGCAAGCACGGGTTTTTCTCATCGCATGTTTAACAGCACACGAACCGACCGAAATCGGCGGCATCCGCGAGTTGACTAAGCATGTGACTCCACTGTGCTGTCGATCGCCTGTTTAATGCTAATTGAATCTGCTTCTTGTTTATTCTCCTTGGGTCTTATGTTCATGTTGTTTCGCCGTTTTCTATTTTTGCTGGAAAGTGTACTCAGCACTACTCCAAGTTACTACACAATTGGACGTCTTCCCAGGCATGTTCCCAACCAAAAGCAGAAGCAGCGCAATGTTGGCTGCCGCATGTGCTTTGAGTAAATGTTGAACTCCGGATTTTGATTATGACTCATGCAGGGTATCCCCAATCTTGGCAAAGGATAAATTGTTCAAAGGCACAGTTGGCGGGGCCTAACTGAAATGGATCCTGCACTTCTCCTGGATTTATTGAATGGGATGCCGCAGTTCCATGTCTCACAAAGGTTGCTAGTCTCTTCTTCCCAGAACCAAAGAGGCATCCGCCCTTGTCCCTATCCATACATCTAGGCTTGGGGCCCATTGTGCTTGTGGTTTCCTTTCAACACGTCCGCTGAGGGTGCACGCAACTTAGGACACCCCTCCCTGAGCTCCCGGCAAAATCATTGTCCCATGGCCAGTGGTCTGGGCATAAAGCTGCCCAGGTACCTGCTGCAGTCCTGCGCTGAGAACTCCTGCGGCACCTGGGCCGCGCTGTGCGCTGCCGAGGCCATGCCCTGGGCTCCATTCGCATCTGTTCTTGTGATTGTTGTCGCTGGCGTGGTGGTGGTGGCAGGAGGTGGGAGGCAGGTGGGAGGTGGGTGGTAGGTGGGCCACAAGAGGTGGGCGTGGTGGTTGGCGTGGTCGTCATTGTGGTCGTTGCGGTCAGTGTCGTCGTCGAGTTTGTGAGCACCCTGAACACTTGGGGGGCTTGAGGGCTTGAGAGCTGCGATGGGTTTCGGCTTGGGCCTGCGGTCATAAGGTGGGGCCGAATGCCAGTTGAAACCTGATTACACAAGTGCTTGCACATCCTCGGTTCGGTTGCCTTTTATTGAGGTTGATGGCCCGTGTGCTTAAGCCAGATTTGCCCACAAGGGTCAGCACCTGGTGCAGCGTCTAGAGCTGAGCGCAGAGATGGCCCTCCGCACAGGCAGGTTTCCACACTTCCCAGCGTTGCTTCATGAGTCACAGCTCAATAAACATCAAGCATCAAACCTGGCACCTGGGTGTTTTTGTTTGGGCAAGAAAGACCACAGCAAATTCGATTCGCGTGAGGCGACCTGCTTCGCGGCCCATGCGGTGGAGCAGACAGCCGATGCACCCAGCGCGCGAGTGGGCGGGCGGGCGGTCAAATTTGGGATTATGTGTTCATGTGAACCCCGGGCCAGTAGGGCTGCCGTCGGGGCGAGGTGACCTTTTGTTGCACGGGATGAGAGACATTTGGCCCACGGACTGAGCATGGCATACGGCCATCTCAGTTCTCACTGCACAGATGTGAACACATCTGGGCTGCGGATTCGTTGGGGATGAAGGGGCATGTTTTAACACGGACTTTGCTAGGGGGTCGCACAGAGTATCAGTGGAAATGACTCAACAATACTCGCGCTCCAGCGCTTCAAAAAGCCGGCTTCAAACAGCCGGCGAGGGCTTTGAAGATAATGATAGTGTTCAGGCTGCGAAGGTTGGGAAGTTGATGGTAGAAAGCAGGTCCTTATGCTAGCAATGCTGCGTCGTGGCATCTAGTGATGACAGCTCCGGCTTAAACAACTCACTAAGTGCGACAAACACCTATGTAGAAACGGGTGAGAGCAGAATGATTGACAGCAATCACTTCGCCCCTTATTTGGCAGAACACATGGATCGAGCTGTATATTGCGCTTTTTAGCACTTCACTGTAGGCATGGTCAGAGGCACTCATCTCACAATTATATGCCAGGGGACCAAAGTAGGTTGCCCTTCAGGGCCAAACAATTACTCCTATAATCATGACTAAGTTTGGTTCGAAAGTTCCGCACTACACTTATCCTAATCAGGGGCCTTCCTGAACTTGTTTCTTGTGGCCGTTTGGAACTTGGATACGCAGATTGTTTGCCCGAGGGAGGCTGCAAGGGTTCCTGAGTAGCCATGCTTGCCCTTTTCGGAACAGTTCTGCTGACCCAACCGTCCGCGCTTCACACCAGGTTGTTTCAACAACTTGTTGCTGACAAGTGTTCTTCGAGCTGCGTTTCTTCAAGTGACCCTTGTGTTCCCTTTTTCTTGTTAACTCGCAGCGACTTATCGACAGGACTGGGCGCCGTTGGTTTCTTTGGGCGCCTTCGGGTGCTTGCTGGGCCTGGTGCCGCTGGACCCTCGCGTCCGACTCGGCCCATGGAGTCGTTGAGTCAAGTGAGTCGAAGGGTCCGACGTGGCCATGGGATGGTCGGGCCTGTTCTGTTTTTTCAAGGTGAGGGACGCCTATTTCATCGACTGGTAGAACCGAAAGTTGACGGGTGTTCGGAAGCTGCTCAAGTTAGGAGGAGTTAAAATTGGCTTCAGCTCGCCCCTTTTGACATCGAATCCCCCAAAAAAGAGATCTTAATTGTGTTGACCCTCCAGCAGGTGCAGTGTTCCGATAGCTTTCTAACATTGGCAAAATTCACAAGTATCCCAAATCCGGCGTGCACCGTGTGTTGTGAGTTTTGAAAGGACAGCATTACCAGTCATGAGGGAGCCCACTCAATGTCAAGATTCAACCCGATGCCGATGACCGTGACTGTCACTGGAATCTCACAATGTTGATTGATCCACCCACTAACACAATTCAACCCAACTGCTTGCCAAATCCGAGGGGCCTGTTGTGACATGTCGAAGGGCCTTACACTCAAAGCAGCCATTTGTAGGAGTCCTAGACTTGCTCCATCGCTTCACCCAAGGCTTCAAGGGCACTTCCCCGTCCGCAAAAAGGGCAGCCTCCCCTTCAACATCTTAACAGTACTCCCCTTAAAGAACACTCCCCCCCTCCCTCCAAGGGCACCCCCTTAAAAGGCACCCCCCTTGAAGCAACAGGAGTGATTGATCTTGCTTGACACCGTCGCGAGGACAGCAGCAGCACTGACCCCAAGCTGGACCGCAACGACTCTGGGCCCAAGCCCATGGTGAACCTAGGACACGTGCCAGCTCCCTCCCAAGTGAAAATGGGGTCCATATGGGTATGGGTCAAAATGAAGCCATTGGGAATTGGACCGCGTTTGTTCGTTAGTCCATGTTCTCTCCATTTACCAGGGTTCCATCTTGGGTACCTATTTTTGACCCACAGCCTTGTATTTCTTTGTTTGGTGGGTTTGAACATTACTCTGAGGAAGTAGGTTTAGGCCGCCCACGAAGTCCCAAACCGTCAACGTGCACAGACACCCAGCAACGGCCGAGGCGGTTGCATTTGCATTGCCATCCGTAGTTCACGGCATGATCGTCAGACAAACCCACAGGTCTTGAGTGGTAGTGCGGTGAATGATGCAGACTCACGCAGTGAGCGCGGCGCGCGAAACACACGGGGGGAAGCTTCACATGAAATGCCGCTCACTCACTGACTCAGCACTTGGGCGAGCAAATTCCGCAGGGCCTTCGGCTGACACGGTTGCGTTCTGCAGCGAGGCGCGCTGAGCATCGAAGGGCCACACCACACAGTGCCGGGCCACATGCAGATCAAGCCCGACTGGGCACTCCTTTGCACGTTGTTCATGTTGTTCACGAACTAGGCATGGCGCGGTCTCGGCAGGGGTGCCGGTTGTCGAGCATTGTTGTGCAGCCCATGCTTGTCTGGCAGCCAGTCACGATGCGTGCAGCAGGCAGGTTGTTGAGCACATGCTTGGTCATGGTCGTGTTCATGATGATGAGTTGTTCCATCGTCACAAGGAATGCCAGGATCATCACGGCGAAGATGATCCAGCTGGCTGTAGGGCTCGAAGATTCCGCCGAAGCCATCGCGTCCACAAATTGCAGGTCATCAGGCGTAGCGTGCGTCACGGGGTTGTCTGCGGCGGCTCCAGCAGCAGGTCGGCTGTCAGTTCCGGCCCGCGTGTTCTGCGGTTGCTTTGTTTTCTCCTCGGCGATCTGGTGTCTTGCAGGTCAACTTGAGGCGATGGTTCCTGAGGCGATCAGCAAGTTACAGCGTTGCCGTTTTGGTCTGACTGTCCGCATACCGCAACTCGTTGCGCGCTCGAGGTGGAGGCCGCCGGCAAAAGGCAGAGGCCACGGAAGCGGACCAAAAGGTCCCAAACCGTCAACGTGCACAGAAGGGGCGCCCAGCAACGGCCAAGGCATTTGTTTTGATAATGCGTTCATACTCTCAATGTAAGTATCATTCTCTTATTTTCTACCTCTTTGTTTTTGTTCCCCACCAGTATACTTCTGATTTGATAAGATCACACACACACACTTATATTGCACCCATGATACATGGTGCAGAACAACACAAGCGCACCACAGCTATCACACAGACACAGTACGCGCAAAGTATATTTATTCACAAAGCACACATTTCATTCACTACATGTACTGCATGCAGTATACACACACTGCATACAATACGTACATTGCACACATACCGTATCATACCATGCAATACATACACACCATACTGTACATTATTGCACACTTGCCGCACATTACGTGAGGCGCGCACATTGCACGCATTACATACACTGCACACATGACACACATTGCAAACATGTAGCATATTTCGCGTTCGTCGCTGCACGCATGACATTAAGTGGAATTAAAGGAACTTTGCTACACCACGATTGCATCAACATTGCGCTGCGTTCCATTGCGTGGCGTGCGTAGCATTGCGTTGCGTTGCGTTGCGTTGCGTTGCGTTGCGTTGCGTTGCGTTGCGTTGCGTTGCGTTGCGTGACGTCGTTGCGTTGTTCTGCTTTGCATTGCGCTGCATTGCGTTACACTGTATTACTCAACACACATGGCACACACGACGAGCACAAAGAACACACCTAGCACAAGTACATTGCAGCCCCGCCACGCCACTTTCGACAACTTGCACATACAACTTGTCACAGACGAGCCTGCACATCATGAAGTTAGCTGCAACTACAGTCTCAAGTGGGTAGGTTGGTAGAATGGCCAGATGCGTCATGTTTTTCGCCTTAACATGTATCACGCCTTGGTGTGAGTCCGGAGGACCCTCCGGGCGCTTCTGCGTGTATCTCGGCGCGAGCGCTTCACTCGGGGCGCGGTGGGAGGGCCGTGGAAGGGGGCATTGGAGGGTGGGGTGTGCCTTTCTATCCTCTCCCCCCCTGCGATCAAGGGGTTTTCCATAGCATCCACGGTGGATTCATTCTTGTAAAACAATTGATTCTAGCCCCCCAGGCGGATCACCTTCTCAGGGCTTCCTGATTTCAGATGGAAGGATTATAGATGTCGTAGGCACCTTTTGTCATATTCCGTGGTAGGAGATCGCCGCTTAGCGGCATACCTTCGCGGACTCACAGACAGAACAACTCACGTGAACAAACATGACAAGCCGATCGAAGAAACTCCCCATAAAAAGCAACTCAAACGTCATGTCAAGAGAAAGGTGAGGGGGTGGAAAAGGAAGGGCTCCACAGCCAACCGAGACCCAACCCTCCAACCACAAACCAAACTCAGGGGGGAAAAAGGGGGGAACGCCAGACAAGCAAAACAGGCGAAAGGGAATCCACCAAAAAAGAAAAGAACAGGGGACCACAGAACGACACAAATAAACAGCCAAGAGGGACTGCCCCCTCTGGCATCAAACCTGGGGGACGGCCCCCCCAGGTGACAATGCGCTAAGGGGACGGCACCCCTGCGCGAGTACCAGAATAAGAACAGAAATCGAAATCAAGACAAAGGTACCCTCCCAGCAGAGGGGTGGTCTACTGTTAGAGGTCAAGTGGGTACTCTCGCAGCAGCCTTGGTTCAGCGACCTCCTTTGCTGAGGTCACTTGACAGCCGTTGGGGAGGTGCTTAACCAAGTTTTTGCTTTTTCATATTGGTCACTTACCACACACTCATGACAAAATGTAATATATACCCCTTCGCTGCGCCCAGGTGGGGAAACTTGGCAACGCCAGAGCCTGCAACGGATTGTTTTGTCTCTTCCTTCGTTGCAGTCCTGGAATAGATCGAACTATTAGGCCAAGTGCGATTCTTCCTGAAGATGAGATTTGCGGTGTTTGTCAGTTTGCTAGGTGCAGCCATGCAGTCTCTTCTTCCGAATCAGATTGCTTCTTGAATGACTAGGGTCAAGCAAAGTGTTCTTGAAGGAACATGCGACTGATTCGCTGGAGCAATGCGCAGGGCAGCCACGCTTGCCCAGTTTTTTTGGTTCGGGAACACCCCAGGAAGTTTGTTAGTCGGGTCTGTTCATCAGGCCGTGTTCGGCGGTCTGGACCAGCTGGGGAGGAGTTCTTACTCTTTTGATTGATTAGTGATTGCTTGCGAACTCTTTGGCTTGTGGTATGGCAAAGGGCCAAGGGCTGCTTTGACAGTTTACGCTTGTGAGTGCCCAGGCATTGGCCTCACTGCCCGGCGCATTCAGTTGCGGCATCAAGGGTGGTCTGCTGTTAGTTGGGACCCAAGGTTCTCACACCAGGCGCTCAATGCTCCGATTGGGGAAGCAAGAAGTCCTGTCCGCTCATTTGTTTAAAGACTCAGACGGTTGTTCCATTTGATGCCTGGCTTTGACACACCCACACGCGTCCACCTCCAATCATTCCCTTATCTTTCGGGAGAAAGTGGGGTCGTCATATCAACCATTGTAGCCCCAGATGGCCAACACCCAACCACCGCGAGCAGTCCCCATTTTTCGCAGGTGACGCTAGCGCCTGCTGCTCCGCTGCTGGCGCGGACCGCGCAAGTCGAGCGGCCGCGACGGGTTTGGATGGGGTCCCCGAATCTTCGCAGTTTGCGCGTGGGGCCCTATATTTGTTTCCCTCTTCAGCCAGTTTCAACATCACCTTTGCCAATCTTAGGTGAGTTTGGGATGTTTGAGATATGGGGAACCTGTTGGACCTGCAGAAATGGCCATGTCAGCCTAAAACGCAATCCCGTGAATCCTGGTAGGGTGACTTGACCCAGTTGCCCAGTCGCTTTTTTGTGGTGGCATCATGCGGCACGGGTCGCTGGTCCTGCCAATGTGATTCAGCCAGAAAGAGACTCGGGTTTGAGATATTGTGGAGACCTTGGACATGAGTCTTGGGACTTGGCCAGCCTTCAAATTTTGGCATTGTTTGGAGGGAACCCCGATTGCACATTCTGGTGAACACATCCACCCCCGCCCCACGCAATTAAACGCTGTCTATCAAGGGGCACGTCAAGATTGATACGTGACACTGCAACCAGCAACTTGCCCAAAGCATCCCGAAGGCCTCTTCGGGAAGGGCCGGGTGAATACGAAACAGATTTAGATCCTTATGCCAGGGAACCACAGGGGAACCGGAGAACTACCTGAGATCACCCACAAAAGGCAGTGAGGCAGTTTTCAGACGCAACCTGGAGGGAGGGTGTGTAGAAGAGAAGAGCCATCCACCGGATCCTCTTGTGCTGAGAATGGATTTCACTGCTTTGGCCAAGGAATATGAGTCAAAACAGGGCCCCTTGGCTATTTGTTCAGCTCAAAGGTTGGCCTCAGCTTGTGCTGGCGTAAAGCCTGTGGGGTCTACGTCCTTGCTGGAAACCACGAATTCGTTAGCCACTCATAGCTAGTATTTTTGCATTTGGTCATTCCCCTTCAGAGCCCGCACTGGGCGGGTATGTCCAGGATGCTTTAGCTTTGGCCACAGGAGTCCTAGGCAAGTTTGGATAGACGTAGATGGCAGTAGTTTTAGTTTGGTTCAACTTTTTCAGGAGTTTAAAAGAATAGCTGGGGGTTGACAAGATTCCTGGCTTTTCTCTTTGGTGGTGAACGTCATCGTTTTTGGTGATTTCCAATGTAAAGGGCCTTTGAGCAACCCGCATATGGGAGCTGCTTTGCAACTCGACGCCAGTCCGTGGTAAAGGACGTTGCAAGAAGAATGGGCAAAAGTGTGTCGACAGCGCAACACGCATTCAGACCTTGTAGTACTGTAAGTACTGTAAGTGTATGTGTACGTGCGCTTTGGGGTGCTTCACTTGGCGAGCGGTGAATGTAGGCAAGGCCTTTGCAAGGAGCTGGAGCGCATCTCGCAAGTGGATTGGGATTGGTTAATCCCTTTCGATCCATTGCGAGCAAAGTGGACAGAGGTCACCTACATGTCCCTTGTCCTTCGCAAGCGCTTTGTACACATGACTTGTTGAACCATTTCTACATGAGGTTCCTTTGGCGTAAGTTTCACGATCGGGAAACTGCAAGCCACCGTGACACGCGGCTGGTGTTCTTTGGTGTACAGGCTGCAACGATCGGCGACCCCAAATCGCCCGCAGCCAAGAAGGGGGATTGGGTCGAAGCCCACCTCGTGGGTCGACCTTCGACTGAGAGAGACATGGCCCCCGTGACACACCGGCCCCTCGGAAAGGTTTTCGGAGCCCTTGGATTAGAATCCTTAAGGTTGAAAGAGCGCTTCCTTTTTTTTCCGCCTGTGGGGTGTGCCCCAAGACTGGGTCCCGATCCCAAAATTACCCTCTAAGCGGTGGTTTAAGGAGAATCACCCCCCAGGCGAAAGTTCGTGAAGCCTTTGGCAAATTGGTTGTTCTGTCATTGGCTGTGCTTTCTGTGGCCCTTGCGGATGATTTGGGCTTCCCATATGTTCTCCCCGCGTTGTTTCTCATTATGGCAGTATGTGTCGCAACAAGTTGTCATGAGTTTGCCAACTCGAATTGGACACATCCAGCAGGGGAATGGGCAATGATCTCACTTCTGTTGCCTTGGCTTAGACCCTTCATCCTTTGCAGGGTTGGGGGGAGACACACCAACTCCCCATGTGCCTTTTGACCCGATGGATGGTTCTTCCATGTACCAACGCTGTATACCATACATGTATATGTATATCTCTATATACATGTATATCTATATCTCTATATATGTGTATATATGTGCTTGGCTCGAAATGTGCAGATTTTGGCCCAGTTGCCCAGCGACACCCCTTAAAATCAATCAGCAACAAACTGGGCTGTGGAATCTGAGAGGGGCCCCCCTCGCATCGGTTTGCGTCCCGATCCGAGGCATGGGCATGGGCCGTTGGCCCTTTGTGCCCTGAGCGGCGTGCAGCTCGCAGGCGTTGGGATCAAAGAGTGGGATCTTGAGGAATCCGACTCGAGTTCTGGACTTTGAAACTTTCCTCAGCAAGTGAGAATCTTGCAGCAATGGTTGAACAACTGCATCCTGGTTCTTCATATGGAGGGCGCCAACAGAGTAAAGATTCCAGCTTCTGGGCTCAGGCTGTCAAGTAGCGGAGCTGTCTTTCTAGGTTGCTGGCCTAGATAGCTGACTGAGCCATGGAAATTCATTCACGTGATTGCAAGCACAGTATACTGGAAATGGTGCAGGAATATACACCTCTGTCGAAGCTTTGTGCGTGCCAGCAGGGGTACTGCTCTTTTCGCATCCGGGTTGTGCAGCCGGAGTCGAAGATTCTCATGACGGGTCCTTCAGAAAGGCAGACTTGGTATATGGTTTTCTCTGCGGATGTGCTTCAGCCACTTTTGCATGAGGCGACTGAATTCCTTGGTGACCGGATTCATGATACTTGTGATGCCCATGCACACTCAACAATGGTCATGGTCCGCTGTCCTTTGGACGTATGGGAGACGCTTGCGTGTTTTTCGGCTTTCGGCACGTTGTACCATGTGAAGTGCATTTCTTGGAAATCAGATTTTGCGAACCTTCCTTATTTCGACTTGCAACCTGACTCTGCGGTTTTTTCGCCTGATGACAAGCGTCAGCGTTCGGAACTCACCACTGCTGAACTTTTCTCGGGAGGGTATGCCGGTTGGCGTCAGGCTCACGACTGCATTTCCAGCGTGTACGTAAACAAAGTGGTCAAAACCTTGTGGGCTTTGGATCACAATTCGGATGCAGCCACCACGTATAGCAAATCCTTTCGAGATGTGCAGATTGTACAACAGGAAACACACTCGCAGATTCATGAAATGATCTCTTCGGGAACCATGCCCTTTTCTGTTGCGACATTGCGGAAGATTCTTGGTTGCAGAGCGTTGTTGGATTTCACTTGGATTCCTTGTCTTGCAGCGCGCCATGTATTTCTTGGTCTGGAGCTCAATCTCAGCTTGGGTTGGAACATCCTGGAGGTATTGCCTTTGTTCAGGCCTTGAAGAAACTGCGTGTGCTTTCGCCATCGATTTTCTTGATCGAGAACGTTGCAAAGATTCGGGACCACAAACATTGGCCGATATTGGAAGCTTTGCTCAGATGGTGCCGTTTTCAGATCTGGTGGGCATCCACCACAGATTTGCAGGATGTGGGACCTCAGCACAGGGAGCGTTTCTTGCTCGTTGCCTGCAGCCTTGATGTGCAGTCTGAGCCTCAGTCCAAGAGTCAAGGATGGGTAAAGCTCAAAGCTCATTCCCTTGCTTCATTCGGGGCACATGTCTCGGTTGGAGCAGACAGTGCATGGGTTGGCTATGCGAAGATTTCAGATGAGGCATGGCGACTGCATTTTGACCGTGAGGTTTTGCCGAAACATTTGCGAGGGTCGGCTACCAAAAGCAAGGTGCGCGAGCTACGATGCAAATCACCCTCGCAAGCTGTGCCGTGCGTGATGGCATCATACACGAAACAGCATGAGATTCCTTATCACATTTTGCAGAACAAGGGACTATTCGGTTTCTTCATTTCGGAGAAGGACGCGAATGGTGAATGTACTGTCAGATACATGGTCATGCCTGAGGTTGCTTATTCGCTTGCTACCACTTCCGAAATCTGGATGCCAGTCGATCAGTCCAGTCACATGAGACAGCTTGGGAATGCCATTTCGGTACCGCAGGCCGCCCTGTGCATCATCAATGGACTCAACGCCCTGCCTAAGGGACAGCCTGCCGTCGACCCGGCCGAGGCTATTTGCAGCGTCCTTGGCAAGCGAATGAATGTGTGGAATTCCTCCTGGAAATTCTATGATGGAGGTTGGAAGCTTAGCAGAGACGTTGCGTTGCCTCGACAGGACTCGGCAACAAGTTCCGACCTTACGCCAACCGTGCCTTTCACCGTGCAATTGCCGGCTGAATCAATGCAGCAGCCGCAACGTCCCAATGTCACCTATTTTCGACAGGTACAAATTTGCTGTGGCCAGCGCGGTAGGTCGGTGATGATCTCTCAGGACATCGGCGAGGAGCAACTCCGAGGTGTGATTTCCTTTCATGATGGGGATGCATTCCATCAGGTGCAGTTTGCAAATGGGCTTGTGGACTCACATGAGTCCGTTTGCATATGCTTCAAATGCGTTGATGCTGTACTTGTGACCAGCCGTGCTTTCGCAGAGCTGTCAATTGCAAATGCACTCATCCGGAGTGTGTTGAAAATGAAACCTGAAGACGGATTTTCGAGCATAACTGGTCTTTCCATCGACAACATCAGCAGAGGACCGGGCCTGGTCTTAGTTGTTGAAAAGCCCAGTATTGTCGGCCCCGCTCGCCAATGCGAACCTTGGATGATTCCAGTTTTCAGATTCGCGGATGACTTTTTCGGATCCCACGTTCCCACTGGGGAAATCTATGAGTTCGTATACTGGTGGCATAATTCCGGCCTGCATTCTGTTTGCGGCACATTGGGATGGGCCCTCCAAGCCACTTGGCATCGGGAGACAGTTCATTTCATCATGGCGCGGGTGAAGCAGGCCTTGTGTACACCTGCCGAGTCGCTCGCAGACACATTCCGATTCGCTCAGTTTGCATATTCAATGAACCACTTGCTTGGATCCCAGCCGGCCAAACATCATGGCACGGCCAACATCAAGGTGAAGGCTTTCGGCATTGTGATCTTCGAAGGCAGAGTTGATGCCTCGGCACGCCTTTTGCAAGTGCAGCATCTCTGGTCGGAAGCCTGTCGCATTGTTGATATTCCTGCAGGTGTCCTTCGCTTTGTGCATGCCGGTAAGCAGATGAATCCGGAATTCCGCTGGTGTGACTTTCAGCAGAACGAAACAGGACCCCTTGTTGTTCATTTGCAGTCACCTCTCGAGGGCGGCGGGAAGAATTTCGACAAGGACGGTCAGACAAGTATGAAAGCAAAAAACGCCTTGGGATCCCTGCTTCTTGCCCGAGGGTCGAAGATTGAAGATGCAGAGAAGTTTGCAGAAACTGCGGTTGCTCAGTGTGGCCCTGATAGAGTACTCCATCTTGTGTCGATCGGAGACCCGCAGAAAAGATGGAAGCAACTGCAGGGGATCGCCGCGGCTGCAGGTCACAAGTTGCCCTTGAGCCAAGCCCAGTACGAACTCAGGTCTTTCAAGGACTCCAAGAGGCTTTCGCAACGTGAGCAAGTCGATCCCGCTCAACTTGTGCTTGAACCAGGTTTCTTCTGCACGGAAGAGGGGGCTGAATGCACGATTCACCGTGAGGTCAATGCTGCAAAGCCTGGAGTCGTGATGCTCACGCCGGAAATTGCTCGGCCTTGGTTTGATGAGACTCAGGTGATTTCGCAAAAGGAGCTCGGGCTCATTGTGCTCTCAGCTTCATGTGATTGCAACACTGCGTCATGTGTCGCCTGCATTGTGCCTGTCCGGGACCCTCTTGGCGCACCTTGTCTGGTCAATGGGTTCCTTCATCAACTTGGAGCAAAGAAAGTCTGCCTTGCGAAAAAGACAGGACCGTCGGTTCAGGTCCCGAATCATACAGCGACCGCCTTTTCCATTTACCGGGATGATGTTTCTGCAGACGACTGGAATGCTATCGTCAGAAGACCCGTGCGATGGGCTCTTGACCAGTTTGCTGAGCCAGCAGTTGCACCGCTATCGCCACCGGCAAATCGAAAATGGCTTGATGCAAATGACAAGATCGTGATGCCTGATTTGGCAGTTATGTTCAGATTCAATTGCAGACTTGCAGACGATCAGATTGCCGGCCTGTTGCCGCAAAGTGGAGTGGGCAACAATCGCGTTTACCTTGCTCCATATCCCGCTGACAAGTGGCAGATTGTTTGGCTGCAATCCGGACACGCCGAGGCTTTGCAACAGGCTGCTAAATGCCCGCAGCAGTGTGGCCTGGTTAGGAACCGTACCGGGTACGGCTTGCGGGTGCTGGTTGGCGAATTTGCAAAGGTGTACAAACAGGTGTTCCCGAGCAGAGAAGTGCCACGCACCGTGAAAGGGCCTCTGGCGAAACTCAAGCCTTTGCCAGGGGTCACGATGCCGGTCTTGCAGAATTGGATGGATGGCCTAGGGTGGACAGCGCGGCCCCTGAAGATGTTGGATAGCGTGACTTGGTTGGTCACCTTGTCCGAGCTTCCGAAATCCCCTTTCCTGTATTTCGGGGACTCTCAGATTCTTATCAAGGAGGTGTCACGCAGAGGGGAACCGGCCAAGAGTCTTGTTGTCGCAGGTAAGCCGGCCAAGTCTACCGTGCAGCAACCGCATTCTGCTCAGACCGATCCGCTTACAGTACATGACCCTTGGGCCAAGGTTACACTTGGGGGCGCCCCGCTTGGTTCCCACTCCAGTGGGTTTGCAATGCCAAATGTCGAAAAGGCCACACCCCCGATTGTTGGCCGAATTGATGATCAGGACAAACGCATTTCAGAATTGACACAGGTAGTCAAGGGACTTCAGCAGTCCCAGGACAAGCAGTGGGCGGTTCAGACAAAGATGCAGAGTGACCTTGAACAGCTTGGTCAGACTTTCCAGCAATCCTTGCAAGCTGCCATTGTGTCTCAGGAATCGCAGATGAATAAAGGTTTCGCAGATCTGAAGGCTCTTCTTGCTTCTACTCCGAAGAGAGCCGGGAAGAGGAAGCCGGGTAGTGTTGCAGGAGTAGCAGACTCGGATGAGGAGATGGGGTGACAGCTGAAATCAGCTGCTAGGGGATGGCACAATTACTTGCATGCGTGTCGTGTTGGAGAAGCGTCCAATCCTGGTCCTGTGAATCTCAAAGTCGGTATTTGTAACCCTAGTTCTGTTTTCCGGAAGCATGACCAATTGTGCCAAATTGGGGCTCAAATTTTGTGTGTTGCTGAGACAGCAGCCACTCTTGCAGTTCAACGTGCTTTCATTCCGCAAGCCAGAAAACATGGTATGCAGTCATTTTTCAGTGTGGCCGTGCCAGAGCG